TCTCGTTTTGTGTTGTTTTTTCAAGAAGAAATAATTTCCTGGCACAAGAAAGTCAAGAGGACGCATTCGCTGCTCACGAGACAAGTGGGGCGGTGGGAGCCGTCTGCCCATACGCATGCACTTTGCAAGGAATCGTGACTCAAGACGGTAGTCAAGAGTTGGCTCCACTCTTTGTGCTTCCCCCCACCTCTTTCCAACGGGCCAAGGGACTCTTGGCTGGGTTCGCTCAAGTCTAGTCATGCTGTTAGGGAGGGTGGTTAGAAAAAACAACAACCAAAACATCATCACTGCCAGCAGGCAAGGGCGGCTGCCACCCCAATCACAAACGCTGTGCTTCAGCCAGTGGGCAGGGGGGCATGAGCGTGCGTGTGGGGCACTCCATGCGTCCCTTCCCGGGTTACCTTCTTGGTGCACTGTCTAACGGTATTGATTAACTCCGAAATGACCATGTCCACGCTTTTCAGGCAAGGCTCTTTAATCTTCTTCACCTGCTTTTTCACAATGGTCTCAAAGGCCATGTCCGGCGTGAAGAGACCGGTTCTAAACGCCGGGGACGAAGTTGGCGAGGGGGACAAGAACAAGGCGGGAGAGGGAGACAGGGCAAGGAGAAGGTCATACAGCATTAACATATTTTGAAAAGAAAGAAAAATAAAATTTAGGGTAGCCGCTCATTATTAATCACCAAAAACCAGCTTGGCTGTCTGAGGGGTAGCACTTGAAAATGCCCGAACGAAAAGAAGCCATCAACAAGAGCTCAGCCGGACCTCCAAGAACAGCTTCCCAAAGGGGAAATGGGGCCTGACTAGATCCTACAAAGGCCAGCCTCACCTCACGAGAACCTTCGATTGTGAGGATACTTACTGTATATACTCGAGTATAAGCCTAGTTTTTCAGCCCTTTTTATAGGCTGAAAATGTTCCTCTCGGCTTATACTCGGGTCAAGGTTATTTATTATTTTACTCTGTTATTATTTTTATTACATGTATTATTTTACTCTATTTATTATTATTACATTTATCATTTTACTCTATTATTACATTACATTTTACTTTATTATTGTTGTTATTATTACATGTATTATTTTACTCTATTATTGTTATTATTACATTTACATTATTTATTATTATTATTACATTTCCATTATTTTATTATTATTATTATTATTATTATTATTATTATTATTATTATTACATTTATTGTGTTACTCTATTATTATTGGAAGGATACATAAGGGCATTTACCTTGAAGAAGCTTAGAATCAGAGTTGGACAGTCTTATCTTAAATTACAGTGTTATGTAAATATTCAAAAACATTGAACCTACCGATGCCTCAATTAATGTAATTTTATTTGTATCTGTTTTATTTTGAAATTTACCAGTCGCTGCTGCATTTCCCACCCTTGGCTTATATTCGAGTCAATACGTTTTCCCAGTTTTTGTGGTAAAATTAGGTGTCTCAGTTTATATTCGGGTCGGCTTATACTCGAGTATATACGGTAGTTCATTTTTGTTTGTATTCATTGCTGCTTTATTATATATACCTTATTATTATATACTCGTTGTAATTACTTAGAAGTTTATTATAATGTGAGGATGGCTGATCTGTAGGAAACTTTTTGACCCCTTACCTGTTGTATGTCAATTCCTGTTCAGTCTGTGATTGTATTTGATGTTCATCATGAGAATGGGGATAATGTTCCTGATGGTGGGCCTGGGTCTCTTGGCAATGGGGATGAGGATTTGCCTGGGCCTGAGTTATGCTCAGACGAAAGGCCCGAGCTGTCTCAGGAAGATTCCCAAGGCCACATTCCTGGGACAGGCCCTTCACAGTCTTTCTCAGAGCAACTGTCCAAAGATGATTTGTCAGGTGCAGAAGTTAATGAGAGTCAAGTTAATGAGAGTGTAAGGCTTTTGGAAACAGAGACAGAGAACTCGGGCGCAAAGAAGACCTTTGTCATTCCCGCTGCCTTAAGAAAGCTCAGAAATATTCTTAAGGATCCATCTCACCCTGAATATTTTGTTTTGAATGATTACCATCTGGCACACAGTACAAGATGATAAAAACAAGGACAAATAAGCCGAGAGAGAGCTTTTTATCCCAAAGCTGGGACTATATAGGGAGAGGGCCTTCTCCTCTGTGGCCCCCCGACTCTGGAACTCATTGCCCGGAGAGATTAGGAAAGCCCCTACCTTAGAAGCCTTTAAAAAGAATCTCAAGACCTGGCTCTTCCATTGCGCTTTTGGAAAGTAGTTACATATTCTTAACCTATTGCTCCCCTCAATGTCTTTGTTCTAGGAGTACACTCCCCTTGTATGAAGGTCAGTCTATCACCCTGTCTCTCTACGAGTTCTCACTCACAAATAATTCTGTTCCTTTATCTCACCCTGAGTTTTTAATCATTTTATGTACATGCAGCCCACTCACTGTCATTATGTTTAGTTTACTGGTTTTTTAAATTATTATTATTTTTTCCATTGTAGTAATATGTTCTGTATTTTTCTGCGATGTTGTTTATTTTATTGTAACTTGTATGTTATTTTATTGTATTTGTTGTATGGGCTTGGCCTCATGTAAGCTGCCTCGTTGGGGAGATGGTGGCGGGGTATAAATAAAGATTATTATTATTATTATTATTATTGACACAAAAGCATAGTATGTCATAGCCTACGAGATCTATATGCTGGATTTCATATCACAAAATCACAAGTCGAACACTTCCCAAGCGTCTAGGACTGTGTGATGTATTTTCGAATGATGTGCTCAGATCCAAGTCAGGTGGCCTTTTACAGTTGACAGATCATGATTTTGTCAATGTTATTGTTTCCAAATGCCGACTGAGATCTTTTGGCACGGCACCCAGTGCACCAATGACCACTGGGACCACCTGTACTGGATTATTATTATTATTATTATTATTATTATTATTATTATTATATAGAATTCTGTGGTTTCACACTGATGTGGCACGAGGGGTTGTGCAATAGGGATGAGCATGTGGAAGGATGGCTGCTTTATTTTGTAATTTGAACATTAACAATATGATTAGTGATAGCATTTAATTGTGTATTGTCAAAAGCTTCCATGGCTGGAATCACAGGGTTGTTGTAGGTTTTTCTGGCTATATGGCCATGTTCTAGAAACATTCTCTCCTGACGTTTCGCCTACATCTATGGCAGAGGTTGTGGGAGAGAATGCTTCTAAAATATGGCCATATATACCTCACAACCTCTGAGGATGCCTACCATAGATCAGGCGAAATGTCAGGAGAGAATGCTTCTAGAACATGGCCATATAGTCTGAAAAACCTACAACAACCCAGCATTTAATTTATTTGTATGATGTACAACAGGCGTGGGCAAACTTTGAATCATAGAATCATGGAGTTGGAAGAGACCTCATGGGCCATCCAGTCCAACCCCCTGCCAAGAAGCAGGAATATTGCATTCAAAATAATTGTTTTGGACTTCAACTCCCACAATTTCTAAGAACTTCAGGCCCCTTCCATAACCCTCAGCCGCTTAACCTTAAGTTGAAATCCAAAACATCTGAAGGGCCACATTTTGACTATGACTGATGTAGAATGACAATAAAATTATTCTATTCTGATGTGTACTTATATACATCTGGCTGCAGTTAAATGCCAAAGCAAAGTGACAGAGCTCAGAGAAATGTGGAATAATTTCTTAGTTTGTCTCTCATCTCGCCTGAGTTTTAATTAGTTTTAATCAGTCTCTCTTTTAACCATTACATGTAGCCTGCCCATTTTGATTGTGATTGCATCTATTATAATTTTATATTGCTATGTTTTCATATGTTTTATGTTGTTTGTTGCATAGCAATAGCCAAAATATAACACAGGCATGGGCAAACTTCAGCCCTTCAGGTGTTTTGGACATCAGCTCCCACAACTGCTCAACTTGCTGACTGAAAGGTTGGCAGTTCGAATCCCGGGAGCAGGGTGAGCTCCCACTGTTAGCTCCAGCCAACCTAGCAGTTTGAAAACATGCAAATGTAAGTAGATCAATAGGTAATGCTTCACCAGGAAGGTTACGGCACTCCATGTAGTCATGGCAATGCCTATATGACCTAGGAGGTGTCTACAGACAATGTCGGCTCTTTGGCTTAGAAACAGAGATGAGCACCAACCCTCAGAGTCGGACACGACTGGACTTAATGCCAGGGGAAAACCTTTACCTTGACCTAGCCTTGCAAGGACCTCCACCTTGTTATTTTGCATTGTTTATTGCATTTTCTGTTATTTTCTGTATTTTATTTTGATGTTATTTGTTTGTATTTTACTTTGCTATATTGTAATTTTGGGCTTGGCCTCGTGTTAGCTGCCCCAAGTCCCCATTGAGGAGATGCTGGTGGGGTATAAATAAAATTATTATTATTATTATTATTATTATTATTATTATTATTATTATTATTATTGTTAGTTTGAGAGGTGTTTCTCAAGAGGAAGCAGATCCTAGGTAATCTCTACCAATGAAACATCTGTTCGATCAGGGCAACACAGAGTCTGACTTACCTATTTGACATCAAGCAGGCTGGCCAATGTTTTGCAAACGAGTCCTCTTGCTGCTGAGAATCAAGTGCCTCTCTAGGTGTTGGATTGCAACTCCCATCAGCCAATGGTGAGGAATGCTGGGCATTGCAGCCCACCCACACCTAGAGGGCTGCATGATTACCAAGCTTTCACTAGATTATGAAACCGAGCTCTTGTTGATACTCAGGAAAGCAGAACAAAACAATAAATGGGGAATGGGGGGAAGTTAGTATGCTACCACCCGTACGACTTCCTTTGATGGAGGAAGCTTCATCTCAGAGAACAGCAACCAATTGGAACCTACCAAGGAGTTTCAAAAGCCCATGGCCAGCACAGCTATCCCTGCCTGTTTGCCAACCTACCAGACCTCTGGAGTCTTCTGGACCAAGGCTTGGATTTGCTAGAAAGCCTGGGAAAGAAATGGAGCAGAGGTGTTGCATTGATACATGCCTGATGCCGTGGATGTTCTTAATGGCGTAGCTGATCTCGCGTCGGAGCTCCTTCTCATCAAATTCCATCTGCACCAAGAGAAAAGGACATAAACCCTGGATACTAACCAAAGCCTGGTGTCATTATTATGTGCTGCCAGATAGTATTGACTATGACAATGCTATGGTGGGATTCTCACTATAATTACCATTTCCTCTTCAAAGGCTGAGAGTGTGGGACTTGCCCAAAATTCATGACTAAAGTTCCTCCTACACTGTCCTTATATCCCGGGATAGATTCTCTGTTTATCCCAGATCACATGGTAGTGGAGACTCATATAATCCAGTTCAAAGCAGATATTTTATTGTGCCGTGTTTTTATGATTGTGTATGGCATTCTGAGCCCCTTCGGGTAGAGAGGGTGGGTTCGAAATATATTATTATTATTATTATTATTATTATTATTATTATTATTATTATTTGAAACACAACAAGATGAGCCCATAACAGACAAGATCGCTCTGCTGGCTGTTGAATTGGATCACACGTCGGACCCTTCCCAAGTGTCAGAGACTGTGTGATGTATCGGCGAATAATGTATAGAGATCCCAGTAAGGTGGCTTTCTCCAGCTGGCAGATGGGAATTCTGTCAGCGCCGATTATGTTTATGTGCAGGCCAAGGTCTTTAGGCACTGCACCCAGTGTGCAGATCACCACTAGGACCACCTTTACTGGCTTGTGCCAGAGTCTTTACAGTTTGATCTTTAAATCCTCACATCGTGTCATCTTTTCCAGTTGTTTCTCTTCAATCCTGCTGTCACCTGGGATTGCAACATCGACAATCCATATTTTGTTTTTTAACACGATCGTGAGGTCATGAGTGTTGTGCTCCAAAACTGTCTATCTGAATCTGAAGTAATAATAATAATAATAATAATAATTATTATTATTATTATTATTGGGCTGGGCATAGCACAGTAGGTTAAACCAGCTGCAGAAAATCTTCCCGACCAGAAGGATAGTAGTTCAAAGCCGTGGGTCAATATTTACAGCATTTATTATTATTTACAGCATTTATATACCACTTTTCTCACCCCGAGGGGGACTCAAAGCAGTTTACACATAGATAATGGCAAAAATTCAATGCCTTACAACTACAACAGTAAAACCACACTTTAAACATAAATCAAGGTGAGCTTCCGCTATCAGCCCTAGCTCCTGCCCACCTAGCAGTCCATCTGTTCATATTTGGGTATATGGAATATTCCTGCCAAGTTTGGTCCAGATCCATGATTATTTGAGTCCACAGTGCTCTTTGGATGTAGGTGAACTACAACTCCCAAACTCAAGGTCAAAGCACACCAAACGCTGCCAGTGTTTTCTGTTGGTTGTGGGAGTCCTGTGTGCCATGTTTGGTTCAATTCCATCATTGGTGGAGTTCAGAATGCTCTGTGATTGTAGGTGAACTATAAATCCCAGCAACTACAACTCCCAAATGACAAAATCAAATTTTTTGAGTGATGGTCACTCCTTAGGTTACTAGGTGCCCTATGGCCAAATTTGGTGGCAATTTGTCCAGTGGTTTTTGAGTTATGTTAATYCCACAAACAAACATTATATTTTTATTTGTATACATACATATAATATTGATAATATTATAAAGCAATACAATATAATACTAATAAGAATACGATATTCTAATTATATATTTTATATTACATGTGATATTAATAATATAGTACCATACAGTAATATATAATACTAATATTGTGCTATGGTGATAATATAATATATTGTATTTACATATTACTTATAAGCTACCCTGAGAGGGGCGGCATATAAATGTCGTAAATAAATAAACAAACAAATAAACAACACATATCGCTTATGGGCAATTACGGTATATAACAATAAAAATAGCTTTAAAAACTAGCTAGAAAATGTTATTCATTGCACTTATTTTCAGAAAAGTGCCCCTGTTCATGATGTTACTCTTGCAGCATGGAAAGAGTTGGCGGAAATGCCCAAGGAAAAAGGAGTCTTACCTTCACCAGCTCAAAGGGGAATCGCTCGTGGAAGATGCGGTTGATCCTCGCGCCTCCAGACAGCTCATAGGTGTCAATCTGGTCCCCAGATCCTTCAATGCGTTTCTCAAAGTCCACTGCAAATTGTTGAACCATCCTGCGTGGATTGAGGAAACCCAATATTATTAAAAGAGAAGATGTTGTCAAGACCACATTCCCATGCAGTTAAATAATCCAGTTCTGTTGAAGGTATCTCAGGATCGAAAAGAACAGCCCCATATCATTTTGCCCATTCTGACTAGAGTCCATCTATTGAATTAATGGAGAGCATAGAATCATAGAATCAAAGAATCATAGAACTGGAAGAGCCCTCGTGGGCCATCCAACCCCATTCTGCCAAGAAGCAGGAAAATTGCATTCAAAGCACTCCCGACAGATGGCCATCCAGCCTCTGTTTAAAAGCTTCCAAAGGAGGAGCCTCCACCACACTCCAGGGCAGAGAGTTCCAGTGCTGAATGGCTGAAGTTCTTCCTAATGTTCGGATCGAATCTACTTTTTTGTAGTTTGAAGTCATTGTTCCACATCCTAGTCTCCAGGGCAGCAGAAAACAAGCCTGCTCCCTCCTCCCTATGACTTCCTCTCACATAGCTATCATGTCTCCTCTCAGCCTTCTCTTCTTCAGGCTAAACATGCCCAGCTCTTTAAGCCGCTCCTCATAGGGCTTGTTCTCCAGACCCTTGATCATTTTAGTCGCCCTCCTCTGGACACATTCCAGCTTGTCAATATCTCTCTTGAATTGTGGTGCCCAGAATTGGACACAATATTCCAGGAGTGGTCTAACCAAAGCGGAACAGAGCATGGGGAGCATGACCTCCCTGGATCTGTTTTGTAGTCTGAGAAATGTTAACTTGAGGGAGAGAGGGAGGGAGTTCAATTATGTATAGCTGCTTTCATAACCTATGTATATGATTTATTTATTTATCATGTCAGGAGCAAACCAAACAGTTGTATTGCATTTTTATGTATATGATTGATATACTATTATAATCCCACGGTTAATTTTTAAGACTAGATTGGTAGAGATTGACCTACAGTTAACACAAATGACCAGCCACTGCCAGAAAGGACAGTTTCATCTACACTGACGATCGTGCCATCACCGCTCAAGCAGGGAGTTTTGAAATGGTTGAACAGAAGCTCTCCAAAGCTTGATGTGCTCTTACTGCCTATTACAAGGAAAATCAGCTGATTCCTAATCCATCGAAAATGCAGACATGTTTTTTCACCTTAAGTACAGACAAGCATCTTGAGCTCTGCGGATGACCTGGGAAGGAATCCCACTGGAGAATTGTAGCACACCCAAATACCTGGGAGTCACTCTGGACTGTGCTCTGACTTACATGAAGCACTGCTTGGCTATCAAGCAAAAAGTGGGTGCTAGAAACAATATCATACAAAAACTGACTGGCACAACCTGGGGATCACAATCAGACACAGTGAAGACATCTGCCCTTTGCTACTGAGTACACATGTTCAGTGTGGAACACATTTCACCACGTCAAAACAGTGGATGTGGCCCTTAATGAGACATGCCGCATTATCACAGGATGCCTATGCACTACACCACTGGAGAAATTATACTGTTTAGCCGGTATTGCACCACCTGACATCTGTAACAGCCTGTTATGAAAGGACCAAGGCAATGATATCACCAGCCCATCTTCTGTTCAGATATCAGCCAGCATGCCCACACCTTAAATCAAGACTGCTCCCTAAGAACCACAGAATTACTTGCAGGAACATTTCAGCAAGCGAGAGTCCAAAACTGGCAGGCTAAATCCCGGAACCTCAATCAGTGGCCAAGACCAGATGAGAACTCTCTCCTGGGCACACAGAAGACTGGGCAAATTGGAAGGTGCTGAACAGGCTGCACTCAGGCACTACGAGATGCAGAGCCAACCTTACAAAATGGGACCACAAAGTGGAGTCCACGACGTGTGAGTGTGGAGGAGAGCAAACCACAGACCACTGACTACAATGCAGCCTGAACCCCGCCACATGCACAATAGAGGACCTTATCACACAAGAGGTGCTCCAAGTGGCCAGCTTCTGGTCAAAGGAAATCTAGTATAATGCCAAGGTTTTTTTTACGTTGTTTGTGGTTTTTCTATACATTATAACTATATCCTCAATTTCCTATACATTATAACTATATTCTCAATTCTGAGACGATAAATAAATAAAAATATTTAATTTCAAGTCCATCAGCAAAAAGTCTTCTTCTAAAGTTGCTACTGTTTCTTTTCTTTTTTTTTTCATTTTAAGGGTAATACTACTGCTACTACTAGTACAGGGTGCGGCAGTATAACTTCCTTTTTTAAAATGCGTGCCATTCAGTTGGTTGAAGACATAGCGGAGCGCTGGTGGTCTCATTCGAGAGGCAGGAGTATAAAGTTTTGTTCGGACACAGTTCAGTCRCCATCATGTGTTGGAACAGTGAGGAGCATGCTTTTGCCGTTGAGGCCTACTTTTCGAGCGGATGTTCTGTGATCGCAAGTCAGCGCGCCTTTCGGAATCKCTTTAATTTAGCCCCATTGGCCTCTGTCCCAGACCGGAAATCAACTGTGACATGGGTCACTACCTTCAGACAAACTGCAAGTGCRACAAGACGAAGAACTGGAGTCCCTCGGACCATTAGATCACCTGAGAACATTGAGGCAGTGAGAGCTTCAATGTTGCGATCACCATGGCGTTCTGCGCGCAAACATGCGTCTGCCCTTGGACTTTCTGATTGTTCTTCATGATGATCTTCATTTCCATCCTTMCAAGATGGCAATTGTGAAGGAAATTTCTGAACGTGACTTCAATTCTCGGAGGAACAYGTGTGAGGTTCTTCTCTAAGTCGTTCCTGAGGACGCTATTGTATTATTATTATTATTATTATTATTATTATTATTATTATTATTATTAACTTTATTTGTACCCCGCTAGCATCTCCCGAAGAACTCGATGCGGCTTACAAAGGCCAAAGCCTCAATACACAACATAACAATATAAACCTAAAGCAAATTAAAAACAATTAAAGCAATATTAAACAACAAAAAATAGYGATGAAGCCCATTTTCATTCGTGTGAATCCGTCAACAAACAAAACATGCGCTACTGGGCTGACAACAATCSTCGAGAATTGCATCAAAGGCCTTTGCATTCACCTAAAATCACAATGTGGTGTGCAATTTCCGCAGCTGGAATTATTGGTCCCTGGTTCTTTGAGGAAAATGAAGTCGCAGTGACAGTGAATTAGGACCGGTATGTAAACATGTTACAGGATTTTTTCCCCCACAGTTAGATGGGTTGGACTTAGGGGAGATTTGGTTCCAACAAGACGGTGCAACTGCGCACACTCCAAGAGCATCGGTGGCTGTTTTGAGGGAACACTTCCCAGAGCGCCTCATCTCAATTAGGGGGGATTGGGGTGGCCGGCCCGCTCTCCAGATTTGGCCCCTTGTGATTTTTTTCTATGGGGTTTTTCGAAATCCTGTGTCTCTGTGAATCGTCCAAGGACCTGACAAGATTTGAAAATCAACATCAGGAAGAAATTGCCAACATAACGCCTGCTATGCTGGCAAGGGTCATGACAAACGCCAGAAATTGGTTTACTCAGTGTATGGAGAATGGGGGACGTCACCTACCTAATTCGATCTTCAAAACTACGTAAAACAAAATTTTAGGTATGTGCCTACATTATATATATAAAAAATTCTGATTCATACAATGGGTTTTATTAAGTTTTGAAAAAAAGAAGTTATGCTGCTGTGCTGCACCCTGTATTACTAACAATAATAATACATCAGTCTCATCTTAAGAGCAGTTTTTGCTGGAAAGGAACTATAATACATTTGTCAAATACAATCCATTTCTCACTCACTGAAGCAATGCTTTGGTCTTGCGAGCAGGGTCATCGGGGCGGAAGTTCTTATACTCTTCCACTTCCTTCTCAATGGAGAGAAGCTGGCTTTGGAGCTTGTTCCGCAGACCCGGCAGTGTGTCTCGGATGTGATTGGTCAGTTGCTACACAAGAAAGCATTTAACAACAACAGTTATGAATCCCACGAGGGTGGCGGACACTTATTACAGTTTCACTGAGTAATAAGAGTAAGGTACAGAAATAATATACTGAAGTTACGGAAATAAGATACAGCCTCTTACATAACCTAGAATTTGATAAATTACTAGAATCATAGAATCATAGAGTTGGAAGAGATCTCGTGGGCCATCCAATCCAACCCCATTCTGCCAAGCAGCAGGAAAATTGCCTTCAAAGCACCCCTGACAGATGGCCATCCAGCCTTTGCTTAAAAGCCTCCAAAAAAGGAGCCTCCACCACACTCTAGGGCAGAGAGTTCCACTGCTGAACAGCTCTCACAGTCAGGAAGTTCTTCCTCGCGGTTCAAAATATCCTGAGAAGCACTTTAATTACCCGTTGGGTTGCTCTCCCTACATTTCATTAAAAACCCTCCTACTAGACACATCCTACCTCTGTTCATGCCCAGCGTTTATTTTTAAAATTTTAACTATTACATCTGGCCCAGCCATAGGTTTTTAAATATTTGTGTATTATTGTCTATATGTGAGTTATATTAATTGTATTGTTTATTTGCTTATTGCTTGTTGTTCTTACTGATGTGTTGTTGGGCTTGGCCTCATGTAAGCCACTCCGAGTCCCTTGGGGAGATGGTGGCGGGGTATAAATAAAGTTTTATTATTATTATTATTATTATTATTATTATTATTATTATTATTATTCAGATGAAATCTCCTTTCCTGTAGCTTGAAGCCATTGCTCCATTGCATCCTAATCTCCAGGGCAGCAGAAAACAAGCTTGCTCCCTCCTCCCTATGACTTCCCCTCACATATTTATACATGGCTATCATGTCTCCTCTCAACCTTCTCTTCTTCAGGCTAAATATGCCCAGCTCTTTAAGCCGCTCCTCATAGGGCTTGTTCTCCAAACCCTTTATCATTTTAGTTGTCCTCCTCTGGACATATTCCAGCTTGTCAACATCTCCTTTCAATTGTGGTACCCAGAATTGGACACACTATTGTGGTGTAACCAAGGTAGAATAGAGCATGGGGAGCATGACTGCTCTGGATCTAGGCACTAGACTCCTGTTGATGCAGGCCAAAATCCCATTGGCTTTTTTTGCCTCCGCATCACATTGTTGGCTCATGTTTAACTTGTTGTCCAAGAGGACTCCAAGATCTTTTTTACACGTCCTGCTCCCGAGCCAGGCACCATCCCCCATTCTGTATCTTTGCATTTCATTTTTTCTGCCTAAGTGGAGTATCTTGCATTTGTCACTGTTTAACTTCATTTTGTTCAACAGTGACCTCTTTAGACTATAATTCCTGGAATTCCCACAAGTAATACAATATTTAAATTATAATTATATATTTACATTACATGTAATATTACTAATGATATTACAATATAATGGTATAGTGCAAAATAGTAATATATAATACTGATATTGTACCATGCTAATAATATAATATATTGTATGAAAATATATCTTGTAAGCCGCTCTGAGTCCCCTTCGGGGTAAGAAGGGCAGCATAAAAATGCCATAAATAAATAAATAAATAAATAAATAAATAAATAATCCAAACTAGTAACTTTCCCAAGCTCTGGCATAATCTTCAAATGTATAAACATTATGTATTCTTCCCCTCCACCATGATACTGCAGACCAAAATCCAAGCTAGTTCTGTAGTGATTTACCTGGTTAAGTACTTTCTGCAGGTAAGGGGTACCCATGCGGTCAGCCATGTGCCTATATGCTGGGTGGCTGAGAAAGAATTTCCTTTCTGCCGCGAGTGCGGATTGAATGTCCTTCTTCCCATCAATGTCCTTCTGGCTTCTGTTGACCACTCCAATATAACCTGTGTCAGAAGAGATCAGAGAGTCAGCTGATAAACACATTAAATGGGCCCACAGCAGACACAACAGTGGGACTAAAAATTGGAATTTGGAAGAGTTAACAAGAGCATGAACATGTTAAGATTCAATCAAGAAAGACACTAGACTCTCAGTTAACCAGAACTCTCAAGCCACGGGCAAAAAAACCAAGGAAACCATAGTTTAAAAATAAGCTATGTTTATAATACAGTAAAACAGTAGTAACTGTGTTACTTTTAATTACTGTATTTAAATAATGACACAGTAAGCAACACGGTAAGCATTCAATACCGTTTTTAGACAGACCGATAGACCAGGGGTCCTCAAACTTTTTAAACAGAGGGCCAGGTTACAGTCCCTCAGCTGTTGGAGGGCCGGATTATAACTTGAAAAAAACATGATTTCCTATGCACACTGCACATATCTTATTTGTAGTGCAAAAAACACTTAAAAACAATGCAATAATTAAAATGAAGAACAACTTTAACAAATATAAACTTATTAGTATTTCAATGAGAAGTGTGGGCCTGCTTTTGGCTGATGAGATAGGATTGTTGCTGTTCCTGCTGTTGTTGTTGTTCTTGTGTGCTGTCAAGTCGTTTCAGACTTAAGTTGACCCTGAGCGAGGGCCGGGTAAATGACCTTGGAGGGCCGTATCCGTCCCCCGGGCCTTAGTTTGAGGACCCCTGCGATAGACAGACAGATAGAGGTATTTTGTACATATAAATGCAAATTGTTATTTGCTTCTCATTTTAAAAAACAAAATCACGTAGAAATGGATGGGCTTGATTAAATAATGCAAAATTGACATTTACCTATAAATACTTATCGGTATGTCTACCTATGAGTTCCATGCTGCTCTTATTTATAGCTTCTTATTGCATTGCTATGTGTTTTCATGTTAATTTTTGACTTATGGCAGCCTCATCCTAGGATTTCTTTAGAAAGATTTATTCTATGCATTGTCGAAGGCATTCATGGCCAGAATCACTAGGTTGCTGTCAGTTTTTTGGGTTGTATGGCCATGTTCTGGCCCAGTTTACCTGTCCGAACACATCTCTTCCTATGAACCATCTAGGCCAGGGGTCTTCAAACTAAGGCCTGAGGGCCGGATACGGCCCTCTAAGGTCATTTACCCAGCCCTTGCTCAGGGTCAACCTAAGTCTGAAACAACTTGAAAGCACACAACCACAACAACAACAACAACAACAACAACTATCTCATCAGCCAAAAGCAGGCCCACACTTCACATTATTGTATTACTAATAAGTTTGTATTTGTTAAAAATTGTTCTATTTTAATTATTGTATTGTTTTAAAGTGTTTTTTGCACTACAAATAAGATATGTGCAGTGTGCATAGGAAATTCATGTTTTTTTCAAATTATAATCCGCCCTCCAACAGTTTGAGGGACTGTGACCTGGCCCTCTGTTTAAAAAGTTTGAGGACCCCTGATCTAGTGTGATGGAGTAACAGGATTCAGATCCCTGCCTGGTCATGAACCACTGGGTGACCATGATCAAGTCAAACATTCTCAGCGGTGGCCCCTCGGCTATGGAACGCCCTCCCTAGAGATATTAATCGGGCCCCCTCCCTCCTAACATTTCAAAAGAGAGTCAAAACCTGACTGTTTGAGCAGTCATTTGCAGACGCAGTAAAACAGACTAATTGAGATCCATGGAACGATTGGACAATGCGACGGAAAAAATGATTTTAGTGATAAGACGCTTAGGACTTGTGTTTTATTGTTTTTATTTTTTATTGCTTTTATATGATTTATATTACTGTATATACTCGAGTATAAGCCTAGATTTTCAGTCCCCTTTTTAGGCTGAAAAAGTTCCCCTCGGCTTATACTCGAGTCAAGGTTATTTATTATTTTACTTTGTTATCAGTATCATTTTATTACATGAATTATATTATTATTATTATTATTATTATTAATATTATTATTATACTGACACAAAAACACAGTATGACACAGCAAACAAGGTATATATGCTGGATTTCATTATTATTATTATTATTATTATTATTATTATTTTACTATCTTTATTATTATTGGAAGGATACATAAGCACATTTACACTGAAGATTAGAATAATGATTCAATCAGAGCTGGACAGCTTATCTTAAATTACAGTTTTATGTAAATATTCAAAAACATTTAACCTACTGATGCCTCAATTAATGTAATTTTATTGATATCTATTTTTATTTTGAAATTTACCAGTAACTCCTGCATTTCCCACCCTCGGCGTATACTTGAGTCAATAAGTTTTCCCAGTTTTTGTGGTAAAATTAGGTGCCTCGACGTATATTTGGGTCGGCTTATACTTGAGTATATACGGTATATGTAATGTTTTTAACTGTATTTATGTCATTTGGGGGCATTGACTGCCGAATGTAAACTGCCTCGAGTCGCCTCCGGGTTGAGAGGGGCAATATATAAATATGGTAAATAATAATAAATAATAATAATTTTTGGCATTTCAACTTTGGCGCCTGGAGGTTATGCTCTATTCTGGCCACAGGGGGCGCTGTTGCTTCATCCACTCGCTTCGGAACCAGGAACCTTGAATAAAAAGGAGAAGCAATGGCAAAAGGGCCCATATGTTCCCTACCTCTTCTGAGAGGCAGCAGCTTGTTCTCTAGCACATCTCGAGCATCGGTTCCTTCGTCCATCAAATCCAGCTTGGTGATCACGCCAATAGTACGCTGACCTGTGATACCAAACAAAAAGAATATGTCTTGATCCAATTAGCTATTGGACACTTGAGAAGTCGATTTCAATCCATTGTTTAGAGTGGACTGTGCATAAAGATCAAGAATAACAGCTAGCATTAGGTTAGAAAGACATAAAATGTCTAAGGACAAATAGAGAAGATGACATTACCTTGAGGGTCAACCTCTTTTGCGATCTTCAAAGCATCCGAGTTGGCCAGATCGGAATTGGCCGGTGAGACGGCAAGGATGAGGCAGTTCTCCTTGGTGACAAACTGCATGAGCATGTCGCGGATCTGGAACTCAATGTCACTGGGTTGGTCTCCTACTGGGACCTTGGTCATCCCGGGCAGATCCACCAGAGTCAGGCTCAGGACTAGGGAAAGGGAGAGAAGGACATCATGGCTAGAACAGCAAGCCCATGGTCAGCCAAACAGACCCAAATTGAAATGGTCAGATGCACTCCAAAAGTTTGGAAATGTATTTTTAAATTTAACTCCAAGTCGCAGAATTCCTCAGCCAGTCTGCCTTTTGCACTTTGCCATGATGGCTTAGAAATTCTGAAAATAGTCATCCAAAAAAAGAATATTTCCAAGCTCCAAATAAAAATAATTGCAGTACAAAATCGAAAAACCAAACACAGGCTTTAATAATAATAATAATAATAATAATAATAATAATAATAATAATAATAATCTTTATTTATACCCCGCCACCATCTCCCCCAATGGGGACTCGGGGCGGCTTACATGAGGCCAAGCCCAAACAACAAATTACAACAAAGTAAAACCAAGAACACAAACAACAAGCAACAACATCATAATTACATAATAATAAAGGAAAAAAAACATATAAATACATTAGCAATATAAAATTACAATCACAGTGACAATGGGCGGGCCACATGTGCAGAATAAAGTGATTTAAAATGATTAAAAACTCGGGTGAGATAAAAAGTGGAGCAGGTTATTTGCAAGGGGAACTCAATTAAAAAAAGGATTTTGGAACCAAGTTTTCCCACGAAGGGGGGGGGGGGACATGTACACCAATGACAGAAATGTTTCCTCACCTTGTACCTAAATTAAAATGTTGCGGAGTTACCAAAATGTATTGCTATATGATAACAAGGTACTAGAACAGCGTTTCTCAACCTGGGGGGGTCGTGAGGGGGTGCCAGATGGGTCACCAAAGACCATCAGGAAACACAGTATTTTCTGTTGGTCATGGGAGTCCTGTGTGCCAAGTTTGGTTTAATCCCATTGTTGGTAGGGTTCAGAATGCTTTTTGATAGTAGGTGGACTATAAATCCCAGCAATTACAACTCCCAAATGTCAAGGTCAATTTTCCCCAAACTCCACCAGTGTTCACATTTGGGCATATTGAGTATCCGTGCCAAGTTTGATCCAGATCCATCATTGTTTGGGTCCACAGTGGTCTCTGGATATAGGTGAACTACAACTCCCAAACTCAAGGTCAATGCCCACCAAACCCTTCCAGGATTTTCTGTTGGTCATGTGAGTCCTGTGTGCTAAGTTTGGTTCAATTCCATTGTGTGGGTTCAGAATGCTCTTTGATTGTAGGTGAACTATAAATCCCAGCAACTACAACTCACAAATGATTTTTTTCCAACCCCCCCAGTGTTCACATTTGGGCATAATGAGGATTCGTGCCACGTTTGGTCCAGATCCATCATTGTTTGAGCCCACTGGATGCAAGTGAACTACAACTCCCAAACTCAAGGTCAATGCCCACCAAACCCTTCCAGTATTTTCTGTTGGTCATGGGAGTTCTGTGTGCCAAGTTTGGTTCAATTCCATTGTTGATGAGTTCAGAATGCTCTTTGATTGTAGGTGAACTATAAATCCCAGCAAGTACAACTGCCAAATAAGATCTATTTTTTCCAACCCCCCCAGTGTTCACATTTGGGCATAATGAGGATTCGTGCCACGTTTGGTCCAGATCCATCATTGTTTGAGCCCACTGGATGCAGGTGAACTACAACTCCAAAACTCAAGGTCAATGTCCACTAAATCTTTCCAGTATTTTCTGTTGGTTGTGGGAGTTTCTGTGTGCCAAGTTTGTTCAATTCCATCGTTGGTGAAGTTCAGAATGCTCTTTGATTGTAGGTGAATTATAAATCCCAGCAACCATGATTCCCAAAGAACAAAACAAATCCCCCCCCCCCCAACCCCATCAGTATTCAAATGTATCGAGTATTTTTGCCAAATTTGGTCCAGTGAATGATAATACACCCTGCATATTAGATATTTACACTACAATTCATAACATACAGCATTAGGAAGGTTGAGAAACATTGTACTAGAACATCAGACAAGATGGACCCCAAAGATCCCAAAATCTGCAATACTGAGCACGTTGTGTTAAGGCATTATTTACCATTAGGAGAGTAGACCCGCAAATTGATCGGAACAGCAGAGATTCCTTTATTTGATCCGGTCACCCTGTCAGTCTCCGCTTCGATCTCCTGACGGATCTCGTCAAAGTCAGTGAACTTTTTCCCTTTGCAGTGTAGAAATTCGCCATATTCTAGATAGAGGGCAGAAAGTGCAGACACTGAAACCACAGTACGGACATGAGAGGCAACACTTTTGTAAACAAAGCCGGGAGTGACAGTTGAATCTGTCAAGTAGGAAATTTAGGTACTGCTTATGCAGGGAGGCTAATTTAACTATGATACCATAAAATTCTCCAGCAGCGTGCAAAATAATGAGGAAGTACTCCATCGGTGCCACAAGTGGACGGTGAAGCAACAGCTCCCCCGGTGGCCGGAATTAAAAAAGCATACCCTCATGAAGCTGAAAAATTAAATAACATCTGTGTGTCTGTCTATATATGTTGTGTGTCTATGGCATTGAATGTTTACCATGTATATGTGCGTTGTGACCTGCCCTGAGTCCCCTGCGGGGTGAGAAGGGTGGAATATAAATACTGTAAATAAATAATAAATACATTGTGGACAGAACCAGCCCTGACTCTACATTTCCACCTAACACAAACTTCCATACTGGCACACAACACTGCAAAAGAAGGATTTCTCCAATTGGAGAAATTATACTGTTTAGCTGGCGTTGCACCACCTGACATCCGGGAAGTAGCAACCAATAATGAAAGGACCAAGGCAGTGACATCTCCGGCCCATCCCCTGTTCAGATATCAGCCAGCACGCCAACAACTTAAATCAAGAAATAATTTTCTAAGATCTCCAGAGATACTTGCAGGAACACCTCAGCAAGCAAGAGTCTAAAAGTGGCAGGTTAAAACCCAGAATCTCAATCATAAGAGAGTTGGGAAACTGCAAGTCACTTCTGGTGTGAGAGAAATGGCTGTCTGCAAGGACATTGCCCAGGAAACTGTTGGGCCAGTGGGCTTATTAGCAAAAGACCATCTTCATAAATGTATAGAAGAGTAACTTATCATCAGCAGTGTGACCCAGCACCAGTAAAGTGATAAAAACCATAGTGCAATAGATGGACTGGAATTATGTGCAATCACTACCTGAATGACCTGGATTATGATTGAGGATCGCGTGGTTTTACAGTGATTGTAATGTTTTCAAAACATTTTAATTTATTTTGAATTTTGATTTCAATTTAAATGTTTATTTTAATTGTATATTGTTGTTAAGCCATTGAACTGTTGCCTCTCTGTAAGCCACCTTGAGTCCCCTTCGGTAGTAAATAAATAAATAAATAAATAACCTTTTGGAAAACCAGAATCTTCATAGGCATTTGAAGCGTGATCCTTTTTGAGATCAATTGGCATTCGCACTATTTGGAATAATCATCACAACTCTTTTGGAAAGTATGATCTTCCTGAGAAGAGTTAAATAATCATAGAATCATAGAATCATAGAGTTGGAAGAGACCTCATGGGCCATCCAGTCCAACCCCCTGCCAAGAAGCAGGAATATTGCATTCAAATCACCCCTGACAGATGGCCATCCAGCCTCTGTTTAAAAGCTTCCAAAGAAGGAGCCTCCACCACACTCCGGGGCAGAGAGTTCCACTGCTGAACGCCTCTCACAGTCAGGAAGTTCTTCCTTATGTTCAGATGGAATCTCCTCTCTTGTAGTTTGAAGCCATTGTTCCGCGTCCTAGTCTCCAAGGAAGCAGAAAACAAGCTTGCTCTCTCCTCCCTATGACTTCCTCTCACATATTTATACATGGCTATCATATCTCCTCTCAGCCTTCTCTTCTTTAGGCTAAACATGCCCAGCTCTTTAAGCCGCTCCTCATTAGGCTTGTTCTCCAGACCATTGATCATTTTAGTCGCCTTCCTCTAGACACATTCCAGCTTGTCAATATCTCTCTTCAATTGTGGTGCCCAAAATGGAGTCTCAGGGCCCTTCCACAAGGCTGAATAAAACCCTACAATGCTTTGAACTGGGATATATGGCAGTGTGGACTCAGTGAACCCAGTTCAAAGCAGATATTGTGGGATTTTCTGCCTTGGTATTCTGGGATACAGGGCTGTGTGGAAGGGTCCTCGTTGACTTCTAAACTGTGCTACTTCTGTGGTAAACTCTACATGTTCTGAGGTAAAATCAGCTTCCAAAATGGAGTCTCAGGGCCCTTCCACACAGCCCTATATCCCAGAATACCAAAATCACGCAAAATCTACTTTGAACTGGATTATCTGAGTCCACACTCCGATAATGTGGGATTTCCTGCCTTGATATTCTGGGATATAGGGCTGTGTGGAAGGGCCCTCAGCCCCTTGCATAGCGTTGAATAACATCCCACATTATCTGCTTTGAACTGGAATATATGTCAGTGCAGACTAAAGGCCCTTCCACACAGCTCTATATCCTAGAACACCAAGGCAGAAAATCCCATAATATCTGCTCTGAATTGGGTTATTTGAGTCCACAGTCAGGAAATGTGGGATTTCCTGCCTTCTTGCCTTGATATTCTCGGATATGGGGCTGTGTGGAAGGGCCCTCATTGACTTCTAAACAATGCTGCTTCTGAGGTAAACTCTAGACTTGGTTGATCGTGTTCGTTAGTTTCTAAAGTCGTTAAGAATTCATATTTAAATTAGCTTTGAACCAATATCGAGCCATGCAGAAATCGTGTGAGGAGTAATTAAGAATCGAAACAATTTCCCCATTTTTCGTAATTATTTTTGAAAAATAATTACGAAAGTTTTTTTTTTTTACAAGTTTTACAATCTCGCAGTTTCTCTTCCCCTCTCTCTCCCCTCCTGCCGGCCACCTTTGCTCTGCTGCTTCCCTCCTCTTTCCTCATGCTTCTTCTTGCCTCACTCTGGGCTGCACTGGGCTTCCTTCCTTCCTTCCTTCCTTCTTTCCTTCCTTCCTTCCTTCCAGCTGGCAAATCCCACATTCCCCCCTCCCTCCTCTTTCTCCTGGCATCCTTCCTGCCCAAAATTTCTCATTACTTTATTTTTCATACCATCACTCTATGCCACAGCAATGCGTTGCCAGGTGCAGCTAGTATAATATATAATATAATATATAATATAAAATAATATATATAATATATTATAATATAATGTACAATAATAATATAATATAATAATAATATAGTAATATATAATATAATATAATATACAATAATATAATATAATAATATAATATATATTATATACTTTATATTATATTATTATAATACTATTATATTATAGTATTGTATATTATATATTATATATCAGTGATGGGCAACCTTTTGAGCTTGGTGTGTCAAAATTTGCCAAAAACCTGAGCACAACTTGGATGGAGTGTCACTTCAAGAAAAAAAACCCCCACGATTCTGCAATATTTATAGTTTAAATAAGAAAAATGTATAATCCATGCTGAGTTATGGAGTGAACAATGCTCAAATGTGCATATGTTAAATTTGTAGAGCCTTTTACAAATTTAAGGATGGAATTAGATTGGCTCTTATACGGTGTATATCTCTGTATGTGGCCACATGTGTCTGCGTGTCATCAAAATAGCCATGCGTGTCAATGCTGACACGCGTGTCATAGGTTCACCATCACGGTTATATATTATGTTACTATATTATTATTATATTATATTATATTATTATTGTATATTATATAATATATTATATCATTATTATAATATTATTATATTATATTATTGTATATTATATTATTATTATAACAACAAAAATAGCTAGAAGCACTTAATTTAGTGTATCTATTGAGAACTTAAAGTCTGTAGCAAATTGCTGTACAAAAAATGTAACTTAGCAAATAATCCGGATTATCCTGGTATATAATCTGGGTTAACAGAACGTTCAAGCAAACTGCTTCAAAATCACAGGGTTTGTTTTTGGATGAACATCTCATTCTGACTTAATCTTCTGGACGTGCTAAGGGCTTGGGACAGTTTTTTGATAATATAATATAATATAATATAATATAATATAATATAATATAGTTGTTGTTAGTTTTATCACAGCAACAGTCAACAACAGAGGGAGAGGGAAGCTTCAGAAGTTCCCCGTCCCGTTTGGAGGTTTTTTTTTTTCACGTATTGCACAATTGTGTCCGCCATTAACGAATCGATTCGTATATTTACAAAATTTCGTAAATATCGACATTTTGAAATTTGAAATTTCAGAAATCCTCTCAGATTAGAAACGCCGGCGCCCCCTAGATACGAAACGAGTTTAGAACCAAATTTTTTCTTGATCAACCAAGCCTAGTAAACTCTACCTGTTCTGAGGGAAAAACAGCTTCCAAAATGGAGTCTCGGGCCCTTCCACACACCTGAATAAAACCCCACAATGCTCTGAATTGGGATATATGGCAGTGTGGACTCGGATAACCTAGTTCAAAGCAGGTATTGTGGGATTTCCTGTCTTGATACTCTGGGATATAGGGCTGTGTGGAAGAGCCCTCGTTGACTTCTAAACTGCACTGTTTCTGAGGTAAACTCTAACTCTTCTGAGGTAAAAACAGCTTCCAAAATGGAGTCTCCGAGCCCTTCCACACAACTGAGGAAAACCCCACAGTGCTTTGAATTGGGATAGGTAGCAGTATGGACTCGGATAAGCCAGTTCAAAGCAGATATTGTGGGATTTCCCAGCTTGGTATTCTGAGTTAGATGGCTGTGTGGAAGGGACCTCAGGCTGAAGAGTCTCAGATCTGGCCACATGGTCTGCAGCCCTTCCCACGCCCTCAAACAACATGGACGTTAAGGGAAAAACTGCACTGCAATATACACCTACAATATAGTCAGCACTCGATTACATATTTAAGAAATAACTAGTATGGGAGGCTTGTAGTAAAGGTAAGGTTTTCCGCTGACATTAAACTTAGTCGTGTCCGACTCTGGGGGTTGGTGCTCATCTCCATTTGTAAGCTGAAGAGTCAGCATTGTGCGTAGACACCTCCAAGGTCATGTGGACTGCACTGAGTGCCATTACCTTCCCGCCGGAGTGGTACCTATTGATCTACTGCTAGGTTGGCAGAAGCTAGGGCTACCAGCAGGAACTCACACCACCTCCCTGATTTGAGCCTGCAACTTTCCAGTCAGCAAGTTCAGCAGCTCAGCGGTTTAACCCACTGTGCCACCAGGGGAGGGTTGCAGAAGGTTGCAATTTCCAACATGGCCAGCGTTAATGAGGCAGAACACATAAGTGACAAGACGTTGCTGCAGTTTGTTTCTGACTGAAGCATTGACCACCAGCATTGAAGCGATGCTCCTCCGCCATCAACTCCACTGGACCGGCCATGCTGTCCGCATGCCCAAAGGTCACCGTCTCCCAAAGAAGTTACTCTACTCCGAAATCGAGAACGGAAAACGGAATGTAGGTGGACAGGGAAAGAGATTGAAAAATGGGCTCAAAGCCAACCTCAAAAACTGACAAAACTGGGAAGCCCTGGTCCTTGAGCACTCTAACTGGAAGTCAGCTGTGACCAATAGTGCTGCAGAATTCGAAGACGCACGAATGGCGGGTGAAAGGGAGAAAGAGGAAGAAGGCACGCCAAGCTAACCCTGACCGGGACCGCCTTCAACATGGAAACCGATGTCCTCATGTGGGAGAACATGTGGATCAGGAATAGAGCTCCACAGCCACCTACGGACCCGCCGCCAAAACACCACATCTGGAAGACAACCATTGTCGAGCTACGAGGGATTGTCTAAGAAAGTAAGTAATTGCATTCTTCTTCCTCCTCCTCCTCTCTTCGATCCTGAGCAAAACCTCTGGCTAGCTACCAAGACCAACGGTTCTAACTGTTATCCTGCCATTTTCTCATTTTGGACAGTGAAGATAAAGTGCTGGCTGCCAACTATCTTGAAGACTAGCCGTTTTATGGCATCAGGCTTGTTGCAAAGATTATTTAAAAGGACTATTTTATTCCTCTGATCTCTGACTGAATTCAAAGAGACTGATTGATATATTGTTACCAAGAACGCCATGATAAGGTAGGTTAACTGGAGAGGTATGTGTCAGCAGCTCATTGCCTGAGAGTGCCAGGAGCCAGGATTCCAATTGGCTGCTGCCTCTGGCTAACTGCTGAGACCAACGGTTCTAACTGTCATTCTGCCATTTTCTCACTTTGGACAGTGAAGATAAAGTGCTGGCTGCCAACTATCGTTTTATGGCATGAGGCTTGTTTTAAAAACCATTTAAAAGGACTATTTTATTCCTCTGACCACTGACTGAATTCAAAGAGACTGATGAATATATTGTTACAAGGAAAGCCATGATATGGTGGGTTAACTGGAGAGGCATGTGTCAGCAGCTCATTGGCTGAGTGTACCAGGAGCCAGGATTCCAATTGGCTGCTGCCTCTGGTTAGCTGCTGAGACCAACGGTTCTAACTGTCATTCTGCCATTTTCTCACTATGAGCAGTGAAGAGAAAGTGCTGGCTGCCAACTATCTTGAAGACTAGTCATTTTATGGCATGAGGCTTATTTTAAAGACTATTTAAAAGGACTATTTTATTCCTCTGACTGAATTTAAAGAGACTGATGAATATATTGTTACAAGGAACGCCATGATATGGTGAGTTAACTGCAGAGGCATGTGAAGGCAGCCCATTGGCTGAGCGTGCCAGGAGCCAGGATTCCAATTGGCTGCTGCCTCTGGCTAGCTGCTGAGACCAACCATTCTAACTGTCATCCTGTCATTTTCTCACTATGGGCAGTGAAGAGAAAGTGCTGGCTGCCAACTATCTTGAAGACTAGTCATTTTATGGCATGAGGCTTATTTTAAAGACTATTTAAAAGGACTTTTTTATTCCTCCAATCTCTGACTGAATTCAAAGAGACTGATGAATATATTGTTACAAGGAATGCCATAATATGGTGGCTTAACTGGAGATGGATGTGTCTGCAGCTCATTGGCTGAGTGTGCCAGGAGCCAGGATTCCAATTGGCTGCAGCCTTTGGCTAGCTGCTAAGACCAACGGTTCTAACTGTCATTTATAGGGAATAAAAGGACTATTTTATTCCTCTGACTTCTGACTGAATAATAATAATAATGTAATAAACTTTATTTATATCCTGCCAACATCTCCCCAAAGGGGACTCGGAGCGGCTTACATAAGGCCAAGCCCAGTGATACATTACAGCAAAGTAAAATACAGAACCCCCTAGGGGTGAGAAAAGCGGTATAGAAATACTGTAAATAAATAATAAATAAATAAACAAAAAATAACATCACAATACCCTAAATAAAACATAGAAGAAAAATAAACAATGCAAAATAACATCATGGCATGATTTCAAAGAGACTGATGAATATATTGTTACCATGTTTGATACTGTTTGAAACATGTTTGAAGCATGTTTGAAACTGTTGATGAATATATTGTTACCATATTTGATACTGTTTGATACATGTTTGAAACTGTTGATGAATATATTGTTACCATGTTTGATAATGTTACTTGTTACACAAGCCTGAGTGACTTTTTTTATTATACAGCAGGGTATATCTTGCTTTAAATACTGTGGTAAAGCTTCTGCTTGCTCTGCTTATTCACATTTATCAACCCTCACAGGGATACAAAGGAAATCGCTCTCATACCTGTATTTGAATTGACCAGTTGAAGGACCAAGGGCCGCCGGGTGACAATGCCAGATCCACGGGGAAGGAAGTCCCTGGAACAAAAGGAAGAGATCAATCCCGGTAAGATAACAACTTCCTTCCTTTGGCCTCTTTGACTAAAGGCCATCATAGGAAGGGCATTCGTTCGCTCTTGTCAAGAATCTCTGCTCAGGCAAAGGTATGTGTATTAAATGTTTCCTTTTTTGATTACTGTTTTACTTTCCTCTCAATAATAATAATAATAATAATAATAATAATAATAGTAATAATAATAATAATAATAATAATAATAATAATAATATAATACTTTATTTGTAACCCGCCCTATCTCCCCATGGGGACTCAGGGTGGCTTCCATCAAAGGTGGCAAACATTCAATGTCATAATAAAACAAACTACAAATTAATCAACACAATAAATAAAACAACATCAATATAAATTTATATTAGGTAAAGGTAAATATTATATTAGGTAAATAAATAAATACATAAAGGTAAAGTTTTTCCCCTGACATTAAGTCCAGTTGTGTCCGACTCTGGGGGTTGGTGCTCCTATCCATTTCTAAGCCAAAGAGCCAGTGTTGTCCGTAGACCCCTCCAAAGTCATGTGAACGGCATGACTGCATGGAGCGCTGTTACCTTCCCGCCGGAACGGTACCTATTGATCTACTCACATTTGCATGTTTTCAAACTGCTAGGTTGGCAGAAGCTGAGGCTGACAGCAGAAGCTCACGCTGCTCCCCGGATTCAAACCTGCAACCTTTCGGCCTGCAAGTTCAGCACTCAACGCTTTAGCCCACTGAGCCACTGGGAGCTCAGAACGTATAATAACTATAATACTTATGAACTTATAATAATTAATCAATAATAACCAAAAAATAAGAACTCAAATGGAGTCTCTGGTGGCGCAGCAGGTTTAACTGTTGAGCTGTTGAATCTACTGACCTAAAGGCTAGTAGTTCGAATCCGGGGACAGGGTGAGCTCCTGCTGTTAGCCCCAGCTCCTGCCAACCTAGCATAGAATCATAGAATCATAAAGTTGGAAGAGACCTCATGAGACCATCCAATCTAACCCCCTGCCAAAAAGTAGGGAAATCACATTCAAAGCACCCCCGATAGCCATCCAGCTTCTGTTTAAAAGCCTCCAAAGAAGGAGCCTCCACAACACTTCGGCAGAGAGTTCCACTGCTGAACAGCTCTCACAGTAGAATCATAGAATCAAAGAGTTGGAAGAGACCTCATGGGCCATTCAGTCCACCCCTATTCTGCCAAGAAGTATTCCTATTCAAAGCATTCAAAGCATCCCCAACAGATGGCCATCCAGCCTCTGTTTACAAGCCTCTACCACACTCCAGGGCAGAGAGTTCCACTGCTCTCACAGTTAGGAAGTTCTTAAAATCATAGAATCCTAGAGTTGGAAGAGACCTCATGGTCCATCCAGTCCAACCCCATTCTGCCAAGAAGCAGGAAAATCGCATTCAAAGCACCCCCAACAGATGGCCATCCAGCCTCTGCTTAAAAGCCTCCAAAGAAGGAGCCTCCCCACACTTCGGGGCACAGAGTTCCACTGCTGAACAGAAATCTCTCACAGTCAGGAAGTTCTTCCGCATGTTCAGGTGGAATTCCCTTTCTTGTAGTTTGAAGCCTTTGTTCCATTGTGTCCTAGTCTCCAGGGAAGCAGAACAATGGCTTCAAATTACAAGAAAGGAGATTCCACCTGAACATTAGGAAGAACTTACTGATTGTGAGAGCTGTTCAGCAGTGGAACTCTCTGCCCTGGAGTACAGTTCGAAAACATGCAAATTTACGTAGATCAATATGTACCACTTTGCCGGGAAGGTAATGGCGCTCCATGCAGTCATGCCGACCACATGACCTTGGAGGTGTCTACGGACAATGCCGGCTCTTTGGCTTAGAAATGGAAATGAGCACCAGAGTTCCAGAGTTGGACGTGACTGGACTTAACCTTTGCCTTTAACTTTTTAAAGAACTGAAATAAACGTAATATATCACATTACGCACATTTACCAATATTTTAATTAAAGTGACTTAGTTGTTATTAACTGCCTTATGAAAAGCCCAGTTTATTTCAGTCTGAAATTACCATACGTCTGCACCTTGCTTCAGGAATTATAAGAAAAAGACAACAGAGATAGATTATTAAATAGTAATTATTCCAGGAGTAATCATTCCACAGATATGGATGTTCTGGTTTGTGACATACTGGTGTGAGGGTAGGGAATAATGGCTCACCACACCTGACAGATTGCAGAGTCCTGCTCTAGGAAGTACGCAACCCAAGCCATATTTCACTTGGTCCATGTTTCACTTGATCCACTTTGATTTATTAAGTGTTGTCTCTTTTAGTTACTGTTTTAATTTAGTTTTAGTTGGCGGTTCAATTCTGCAGGATGGGGTGAGCTCCTGTTGTTAGCCCCAGCTCCTGCCAACCCAGCAGTTCGAAAACATGCAAATGTGAGTACAGTGGTCCCTCGCTATTTCATGCTTCACTTTTCATGGACTCGTCATTTTGCGGTTTTTCAATATGGACTTAAGAGCGTTTGTCTGTATGGAGAGGCTGCCTCTGCGGATAAAGTCGGAGTTGAGAATTACGTGAACAACACATTCAAGGAGGAATATGTAGTGTATAAGTGTGCGGGAAGGGTTTATAAAGACTTAAAATAGTGTATAACAACTAAAAAAATGCATTAATATTAAAATATTAATGTCTTTACTAATAATATAATATAGTCTATTGTATATACATATAATATTTATAATATTATAATGTAATACAATATAATACTAGTAATAATAATACAATATTATAATTATAACTATATATTTACATTACATGTAATATTACTAATAATATTACAATATAATGGTATAGTGCAATATAGTATAATACTGATATTGTACTATGCTAATAATATAATATATTGTATGTAAATGTATCTAGTAAGCCGCTCTGAGTCCCCTTTGGGGTGAGAGAGCATCATATAAATGCCGTAAATAAATAAATAAAAATAAATAAAATAAATATAGTGTCTCTACTTTGCGGATTTTCACTTTTCACGGGTGGTCTTGGAACGTAACACCAGCGAAAAGTGAGGGAACACTGTATGCCGAAGAAGGGTTGGAGGAATACATACTAGCGGCTGTATACTACCAGGTTAAACTGTTGAATCTGCTGACCTAAAGGTTGGCAGTTCAAAGCTGTGGATCGGGGTGAGTTCCTGCTGTTAGCCCTAGCTCCTGCCAACCTAGCAGTTTGAAAACATGTAAATGTGAGTAGATCAATAGGTAATAAAGATGTGGGGAGGGTTTATAAAGACTTAAAATAGTATATAACTACTAAAATAATGTATAAATATTAAAATATAGTGTCACTACTTTGCAGATTTTCACTTTTCGCAGGTGGTCTTGGAACATAACACCAGCGAAAAGTGAGGGAACACTGTATGCCGAAGAAGCGTTGGAGGAATACATACTAGCGGTTGTATAGTAGTGGGTTAAACTGTTGAATCTGCTGACCTAAAATAATGTATAAATATTAAAATATAGCGTCCCTACTTTGCAGAGTTTCACTTTTCGCAGGTGATCTTGGAATGTAACACCAGCGAAAAGTGAGGGAACACTGTATGCCGAAGAAGGGTTGGAGAAATACATACTAGTGGGTTAAACAGTTGAATCTGCTGACCTAAAGGTTGGCAGTTCGAAGCCGTGGATTGAGGTGAGCTCCTACTGTTAGCCCTAGCTCCTGCCAACCTAGCAGTTCGAAAACATGCAAATGTGAGTAGATCAATTGGTAATAAAGGTGTGGGGAGGGTTTATAAAGACATAAAATAGAGTATAACTACTAAAATAATGCATAAATATTAAAATAAATATAGCGTCCCTACTTTGCGGATTTTCACTTTTCGCAGGTGGTCCTGGAAGGTAACCAGGGAAAAGTGAGGGAACACTATATGCCAAAGAAGGGTTGGAGGAATACATACTAGCGGCTGCATACTAGCGGGTTAAACTGTTGAATCTGCTGACCTAAAGGTTGGCAGTTCAAAGCTGTGGATTGGGGTGAGCTCCCACTGTTAGCCCTAGCGCCTGCCAACCTAGCAGTTTGAAAACATGCAAATGTGAGTAGATCAATAGTTAATAAAGATGTGGGGAGGGTTTATAAAGACTTAAAAGAGTGTATAACTACTAAAATAATGCATAAATATTAAAATAAATATGGTTTATTTTAATATTTTGTGGATTTTCACTTTTTGCGGATTTTTACTTTTTGCGGGTAGTCCTGGAACGTAACACCAGCTAAAAGTGTTAGCAGTTCGAAAACATGCAAACTAATACTGAGTGAGGGAACACTGTAAATCAATAGGTGCCGTTTCAGCGGGAAAGTAAATGGCTATCAAAAATAGCTAAGAGAGTGGTTCAGTTGTCTTAGTTCTTAGGAAGAGGACCTCTGCTTCCTGATTAAGAGCAATCGGAAGGAAATTGTGACGAAAACTAAACAACTGTGCTGGCAAAATGATCAGTCACACTCCCAGGGAAGAAAGGAAGTCCCTTTCAGTTCTTTTTCCCGGTCTTGCTGACTTAGCAACCACAATCCCCAAGTCTTTATGCAGGCGCACACCACCTTTTTCCAAGAAGCTTTGCTGGCAAATTCCAACAAGGGGTTGTGTTGCAACCCTCCCACACATCCGTGGCCCCTCGAGAATTGCATCAGGAAACTCTGGGGCAGAGACTGCTTCCTTTGCAGAATTCGACTACTCACACTGAATGGTACTGTCTCTGTCCACAGACAAGCCTTTGCTTATTTACTTACTTAGGCAATCCCTCATTGTCTCACTATGATGACGTTCCAAATGTGGTGTCCTGGAGGTGGGTCCGTAGGTGACTGTGGAGCCCTGTTCTTGAACTGCATCTTCTCCCAAAGTGAGGACATCGGTTTCCAGATGGAAGGCAGTCCCAGTTAGGGTTGGCTTGGCATGCCTTCGTCTTGGCACATTTCTCCCTTTCGCTCTCCATTCGTGCCTCTTCAAATTCTACAG